AAAGTACCCTCGGAAATTCAAATATCCGTTTTAAATTCTCAGGTCTCGAGTTCCTTGAGATCGATCTGGAAGTATCTATTTTGGAGAAAATCGTCAGAACGGTTTAGGCGCTAGCGTTGTTCACAAACGCGTCAATCAATTTTTTGGTATCAAGGACCCACAAGACACGGATTCTAACTACCCATTGTCGTGCCGCCGTGCTTCTCGTTGCGATACTTTGCCATCGATTTAGCTGGATTGCAATGTAAATTACGTGAATCACAATCATGTGGATTGTGATTCACTCTGCAATTCTGTTGCTCATATCACGAGCTTAAGCAGTTGATACTTTGGCTTTTGCAGTAGTATGCAATTGCCAAAGTACCACTCCATTTGGTTGTTAAAGTGGAACTGACTACTGCCGAAAACGTTGCTAGTCTTCACAAATCAAATAACCTATGTCTCTTGTAATGCAGTTGTTTTCTGAGAACATTGTAAACACTATAAATTTGTTGTACTTGTTTTCATTATACTATATTGATATGGCAACATTGCTGATCTCTCAAGGCTAATTACGTTTAATATATGTTGCCAATTGTAATTTTCTTGACATTGTGTTTGCAATACATTGATAAGGCAACATTACTAATCTCGCATGACTAATTTTGTTTTATGTTGCTAATTGCAATACATTTTCTAGACTAATGAAATTTAATATTTCCGTTCTGCAGTAAACATAAATATAAACAAATGTACATGGCATTTATATTCCACAACCCAATTAACGATTGCAATAGCAACTCTGTTGTTGAATATTATTCCGGGTACTCCACTAATTCGGTAATTATCACATAACGAGCTACTGTTCGCCTATTTGCGAGTAGCTGATGTGCTCCGCGAATGTTCACTTACTTTGATGTGTGTCCAAGAGACCGACACGCGGTTAGGGCGAGCATCCAACGTTACTCGGCAAATGGCAAGCAACCCATCCACACCACTCGGGATTCCGCGAGCAGTTGCTCGTTACTCGCTGAATATCCAAAGTATGGGACAGCCTTATTTGAAATGCACTATGAACGTTTAATTCAACTCTGTCGAGTGTCATCCGGGTCGGACCAGTCAGCGTTGAATTGGTCCAGGTACCGACTCGTCTTTGCCCGCCCGTCCACCCGTCCACGCGTCCACGCGTCCACGCGTCC